ATTTGACACTCTGTGAGGGCTACACCTTTCCAGAGAGGTTTCCTCCTGGGCTCTACAGCTGAGTTAGCTATTGCCCAGACACATCTCTGTAGCCAGGGGGACTTGTGCAGTGCCCTGCCTCTAGTAGCCCCGGCCCACCAATAGGAGGGGACAAAGGGGGCTTAGCGATTCAAAGGGGCCTGGTGCTCCCCGCTGCAACCACAGGAATGGTAGCGGCCGGAGCCCTGGGCCTCGTAAATCACTGATGGAACACCACGCTGCATGCTCCGGGCAGCTGTCTGGACGAGTGCGGCATGTTCCGCGTGGCACTGAGCACCACACCTTCTGCAGGAGTTCCTGCCCTTTTGGGGAGCACAGCGCCCGCTCCGTCCCCCTCTTACCCAGACGCATCCTCAAGTAGCCCCCCCACCCCCTTGTCACAGGCCTGCTAAGTTGTAACACACACTCTCAAGCAGCACCATTGTCTGACATCCTCAAGTAGCTCCCCCACCCCCTTCTCACAGGCCTCCTAAGTTGTAACACACACTCTCAAGCAGCACCATTGTCTGGGGCTCCATTCGGTCAGAGTCCTTAAATAAATCACAACGTTATCCAACGCAAAACCCCCAAATCGCACTCAGTCGGAACCTGCCAGGTCCCAGCCACCTCTGGTTTGATCCCAACTCTCTCGCTCCACTGGCAGCTCATTGGTCAGCCACCTGAGTGACCTCAGGAATAAGTCTTAAGTCCCAGGTCCTCCAGCTCCCCGGCGAGACAGCCTGCTAAGGCCAGAAGAGGCCACCAGAATGTCCCTCTAGTCCAGGTGTGGGGAACCTCAGGCCTGCTGGATCCAGCCCCCGAGGCTCAGAGCTGGAGCCGGAGCACCCAACATCTACTAGGCTGGGCCCCGCTAGGCTCTGGTGTGGGAGGGGAACATAGGGAGGGTCTCTCTCCAGAATTGGGGGCCACGTCAGTGAGGGGTTTGTTTGTTTTTGGTTTTTTGCTTCTCACTTGTGTGCGGCTCCTGATCGATTTTTCTGTGGGTCAGCAGCCCCCCCCATCCAAAAAAGATTCCCGGCCCCTGCTCTAGGCTAACCTTCTGCATATTGCCGGCCATAGAACCTCGTTTGAAACGGATCCCAAGCCTCAGGCTCAGCCACTGAAGTCCTCAAATTATAGTTTGAAGAATTCAAGTTAGAGAGAATTCGCTGCAGAGGAAGGTGGGGGAAAAAACAACCAAGGGTTTTTGCCAATCTGGTCATTCTTTCCCAGGACCAAATGTAGCGATCAGTTAGACCCGAGCACATGGGCCAGGCCCACCAGGCACAGACGTGGAAAAGAAGTCTCAGAGTTGCTACAGAGCCCGCCCCACCTACGGTCCCTGTCTCTGGGTGTTGGGGATTGTTCCTATTGGTAGCTATCAATGGGCCACATACCTTTAATGGAATCATAGAATCCCAGGGCTGGAAGAGACCTCAAGAGTCATCCAAGTCCACCCCCGTGCCCAAGGCAGGACCAACCCCAACTCAATCATTCCAGCCAGGGCTGTGTCAAGCCGGGACTTAAATACCTCTAGGGGTGGAGATTCCACCCCCTCCCTAGGGAACCCCTCCCAGCACTTCACCACCCTCCTAGGGAAATCGTTTTTCCTAATATCCAACTTAGACCTCCCCCACTGCAACTTGAGACCATTGCTCCTTGTTCTGCATCTGCCACCATTGAGAACAGCCTCTCCCCTTTCTAGGCAGTCCCATCATACCACCCCCTCCATGAATTTATCAAGCTCAATCTTGAAGCCAGTTGGGTTTTTTGTCCTCCCTGCTTCCCCGAAAGGCTGGTTGAAACCTTCGCCCCTTTTATAGTTAGGCTCACAATTAGGTGACTATTTCTAAACTGGTTGATGGCCTCTGTATATCCGTTTGTTCTTGTGTCCAAACTGCCTCTTAACTAACTCCTCTCCCTCCCTGGTATTTATCCCTCTGATGTATATGCCTTTCCTGTCTGCTTATTTAAAACACTAAACCAAATAAAATGGGTCTAGTAAGATTTACTTCACGGGGCATTGTGAGACTAAATTATAATGCAGGGAGGGAAAAAAAGCGCTAGGCATACAAAACACTGCTATAGAAAAGAAACTTTTAAAAAAGATTTCTAAGCTGATTCTACAGTTGGAAAAGAATAAAGTACACCTGCCTGTCTAGGCTCTTCTATTGTGTCCCTGATTGTGGTTTCTGAGCACTAGAGGAATATACACCTTTGTTTGTGAGGCAATGTTGCATTATCTAGCTACACAGAGAGACCAAAATGCGGGTCTCAATTTCAAAGCAGTTCCAATACTTGCTGTGGAAAAAACAAGCAAAGTGCTGCTCAGCAGATTATCTGTAATAACACTTCAGAACTACCAAATATCCCAAATGTGGGATGTTGACACCAAATATTTTTCTTTAAAACATTTCTCCCCCCCCCCCCTCCTGAGTATAGTTCTTACAGCGCCTGCAAACGCTTCAAATGCTGATGACCCAGGAATAAAGCATCAGAGAGAGACACATGTCTGCTAGAAAAGCTTTTCTCAGTGACAAAACCTCTTAAGACATTATCTTCTTTAGTGTCATTTCCTAATAAAATAGGAAGCCAAAAATAAATACAATGTTTTCCTCCACATTTGTCTCTAAAGGCATTGAAACAACTTTTTTTTTTGAACTTTCTAAACCACTATTACAGAGATGGTTGGGTCTGAAAGTCCTTTTACCTACTTATTGATAATCGCTTGTTTTCCTGCCACTTTTAAACTGTGTTTCGGCTTTAGTGGAGATTCCTATACAAATGGAAAACAACGTTTTATCAACCAGCTCATCTTGTCTACTCTTGTCTCATGGTCCTGGTCTACACTACATGGGAAGGTCTAAGAAAGATACATAGCTGCAGTTACGTAAATTACATAGCTGGAGTCAACGTATCTTCAATCCCCATCCACACAGAAGGAGGTCGACAGGCATTATCTGCAATAGGAGATCATCTCTCCTCCCACTTTTCTATTCTCCTTTAGATGGCAACTAACTATCTTCCCTTTCAAAAACAGGCTGGCCATTCATTCCTTATGAATCATCTTGCAATTTCTCAGCCTTACAATTGCAATTAATGTATTTTAGGATCGGTTTTGAAAGAAGAAAGTGAATCGGTTCAAGTTCATTTCTTCACCGCTCCCTGTAACATCAGCGCAAGCTCATGTATGAAACTGACTTGGTTGGCAAAATATAAAGGCAGATGGATTTCAAGTTTAAGGATTCCAACCCCGCCTCCCACCCTCAGGAAAGGCCAATAATATGTGCAAAAGCATTAACATTTGGGTTTCGCAGAGATGAGCCCCTTTTGTATTCACTAATAAAACATTGCACCAATGTTAAATGTTAAACCAATTGAACCCACTAATTGCCAAACGGCTCACAAGATAGCCCACGGCAGTTCTCAATCAAGAGATGTTTACATCTGTCCTAGAATCCATGTCATGTTGCCCCATTGTCTGCACATTCAATACCATGGTTAGGTGAATTATCTGGCTCTCATTAAGATGTAGCAAGACCCTGGCATTGGGCTACAGCCAACTTTGCCCACTCGTGATGTTAGGGAGTCCCGGTGTATGAGGTTTTCTTATACCCTCAGGCTATGTCTACACTGCCAATTTTTGAGACAGAAAATATGCTAATGAGGAACTCATCTGCATGAGCAGTGATCTCATTTGCATATTTTCTGCCAATCCATTTTTGCACAAAAACAAGCAGTGTGGACATTTTCTTTTTGCACAAAACGCCCTTTTCCCCCAAGATCGGTGTATCTCCTTTTCTGAGGTGTAAGGATCTTGCAGAAAAGGGCTTTTTGCGCAAAAAGAATACGTCCACCCTGCTTGTTTTTGCGTAAAAACGGATCGGCAGAAAATATGCAAATGGGAACACAACTCATGCAAATGAGCCCCTCATTAGCATATATTCTGCTGCAAAAACTGGCAGTGTAGATGTAGCCTCAGGTGTCTGGAGTCCTGGATGGAATGAGACCCATTTTTTGGGTGCAGAAGAAAGCTTGAAACCTTGCGCCTCAGAAGCCAGAATGCAAAGAACCCCTAATTTTTAAATCTTTTTTCCCTTCCCATGTCTCACTTTTCAATGCATTGGATTGGCAACACTTCCTCTGTTCTCCTTCCCCCCCTTGTAAATCAGAGGCTACTCAGTTGAAGTCAGTGGACCAACAGCAACATGGACAGATGCAAGTGACCGGAGAACAGCCTCGATCTCTAACCGGTTTCCACGTTCCCTGCAAAACTCTATTTTCTCTCTGCTCTTCGATTTCTAACCAAGCTTCCGCGAAAGCATGTTGTGGTCTGAGGATTATTTCCCGCCCCTCTCCCCCTCCCCATCCCTCAAACTGAGCTATAATTAGAAGGCGAGCAAGTGATACAGCTCACGGCCTGCCTGCAAAGGTCACTCATTCTGAGTGTTAGGGCAGTTAATTAAATCCTCACCTGATCAATTTACATCTTCCCATAAACAGCTACAACTCTGATTTATCATTTTTGTTAGTTAAAAAATAGCCCGTTTCAAAGGAAGGACTATAGCGGAGCATGAATAGCTGGTAATCGGGGTTAAAGAGTGTCTGGCTAATTCATTACCTGCATTCTGTGCAGAGATTATTATTTTTGGTGGCATTACGGAGGAATCTCCTCTCTGTCCACTCCAGCTCTCTCCTCCTGCTGCCGCGCCTGTAGTTTAGGTCCAAAAAGGAAAGCTTTTCTCTTGCTATTCGTTTCCTATGCTTTTTCATCTTCCATCTTTCCTCTTGCTATTTAGAAACCCACCTACCATGGTGGCCTAGTCCCAGGGAAATAAGAGGGCTATGAAGCCAACTACAACTCAGTCCCTAAAAGCAAAGGGCGCAGGGGGAATTTAGGTTTGCTGTAGATACCGCCCCCCCTGCAAAAAAAGCCCCAAACTATCAGTCGATCCATTTATCCCCACTCAGAGCCACATTACCTTGATCCAGATAGTTGTAGTGCACTTCAGTTTGGCTGCCTTAAGGAAAAAAAATCCCTGTTCAGCCTCAGTACTCTGAGAAGCAGCCCATTAACAGCAGATGCGTAATTGTGCTCTGCTGAGTCTTTCCCTGCCTCTATTAACTCCTTCCCTGCCCTCAAGATTCATTAGGTTTATCGGACCATCACGGCATGTTTAAAAATTCTAAACATGTTAACATAGATCATCCGAAGCAGTAAGGGACTCTGTCTGCCAGCTGGACAAATGCTTTCCATATGTCATTTTGATGTAAGGCACTCCTAAGTCTGCTGCTATGAGATACAAAAATACTGGGGGAAGAACGGATGGGGGATTGAACTGAAATTTTATTACAGAGAGGGGTGGGACTCTCAGAATATCGGCTTGCTTCTGAAATTCTCGTCTATCTTCCTTCTTGGCTCATTTACAAAACACACACAGGCACCAAAAACCAAACACTACACGCAGTCCAACTGCAACCCATTGCATGTACACACAAAATCAAATGCTAAACCCAAACAGAAATGCGATCACACACCAACAAGCAAAAGAGTTTTCACGGCCCACATCCAGGCCCTAATACGTGAGCATGTGTGCACCCACATCCAGTCAGAAAGCACTCGTGCAATGAGTTTGTTAGTTACCAGATACTGGACCAGAGTCTGATCTTGGCTACACCAATGCACAACTGCGGAAGGCAGATTGGATAATCCTCTTCCCAGCCTTCACTGTCTTTGGGTATGTCTAGACTGCATCCCTGTGTTGGCAGAGGGATGCAGATTAGGCAGGTCGACATTGCAAATGAAGCAGGGATTTAAATATCCCGTGCTTAATTTGCATTAAAATGGCTGCCGTTATTGCAGACTCAGCACTTTGTCGGCAAAAAGAGGCCGTGTAGAGGGGTATATTCTCCCATATATTCACTTGCACATGGGGATAGCCAGGCGGAAAAAATCCACACTTCTATTTCTTCCTTCCGAGTGTTTTCACATTTGGGGGACACATCTCCGCTTGTTGTAAATGGGTGTGGATAATTTGGCCCTGGCTCTCTCTTTCCATCACCCCTCCTCCACATCGCAAACTAAATCCAGGCGCATTTGCCAAATACTCAGTATGTCCACTGAAAACAGGGCGGATCACACATCCTCTTCATTTCCATCCACGCTATTGTAATAGTCAGTATAAGGGGGGATAGCCAGACGGATCTAGATGGATACTAAAAACTACAGCTCGTGGGTCTTAATCTCTGCAACAAAAGCAGCTTTAAAACCTCTACGCCCATCCCTCTCCAGCTGGATGAAGTACAGCACTGTTCTCTCATTAAAACCAATGATATCCCCTGCTCCCTATCTCTCCACCTTCTGCATGCCCCTTTATTACTGAACAGAGCTGCCGTCTCACTAGAACTGATTAGTGGAAAAAAAAATGTTCAGGTAAGAGGCTTCATTAGGAACTGCTGCCTTCCCTCCTCTCAAGCAAGCACCTACATTCTAATTTATTGGCCAGAACTAATGAACTCAGTACAGGACCTAATACTCGTCCTTGGGGTGTAGGGAGGTAATTTAGACAAGTGCAGACAGAGGTTACAAGGGAGGAGAGGGACGTAGGAGAGGATCGGGAGGGCACAAACGTAAGTATAAAGCTTGAATTCATGCCCCTTCCTGGTTTTACAGACTCCCCCAAGTTTCCTCCCACGCCCATGCTTTGTAATGCAGAAGTGCTGAAGCTCATTATTTCAACTGGGCATAATCAGTGATCGATCCATGAGCGCAGCCTAGACCTGCCATTAACACACATGCTACAGGACGAAATTCATCTCTGGAGTAGCTGGCTGGTTTAGGACCCATTGATGTCCCTACAGCTCATGGAGGAGATTCACAGGATGGCCCTGGACAGGGATAGTTTGCAAAAGGGTTCCCCATGCCCCGCCGCCTGTAGTGGAAGGGGTGTGTGGTGTGTGAGATCTTACACTGGTTTCAGGTACGTGACTGCTGAAGGGTGGTCCTATGGGATCCAGAAGATGGATGGGTACAATCCACCCACATCGAAAGGACCCTCCTCCAGCCTAAGGGGAGGATTCTAGAGAGTCCAAGACACCATATAATTACGGGGGACAAAGAACAAGAAGAACAGGGGTAGGAGTGAAGGTCAAAGGGCTAAAACAAGGGAATCGGATGGGGACACGGAGCACATTGCCTTAGACTGGGCCCACGACTCCTTGAAAGCATCAAGGGAGCCAGCGGATGCCATCCAGAGGAACCGTGCCTGGATGCATGAGTGGATACAAGAATAGAAATAGGTCCCACAATTGTAGCCAACTTTTTGCCCCCTGGTCTGATAAATGGCTACCTTGGCCATAGCCAGGAGAAAGTCGACTAGGAGGTCCACTTTGTGGGGCGATGGATGGGGTCTGCCTAAGGATGGTATGGGGCAGGTTGAAGTGATAGCATCCCTCTCCCTACGTGAGGGCTTGGGGCAGCCACTGAGAGACTGGGAGATGATTTCCATTCCCTTCATCTCTCAAATCATCCCCACTCAACACAGAGCACAAGTAACTAGGACGTGTGCAGTGGATGTATTGGGAGCGGGTTTTATTCTAAGGATTCCAAGCATGTTGCAAACATTCTGTTCTATCACGATGCAAAGCAGTGCGGAAAATTATACAACCTCCTCCAAAAAAGGAGGATGGGGAACTTATTAACCCAGAACAGCAACAGATAAGCTCTTACCTACCACTTTTCACCCACAGGGCTCCAACTTCTTCAGCATAGGAGAGTCACTTGACTTTACAACAGAAGGGGAACTAGGAGACACAAGGGAGTGGGAGATAATTTTCCTAAGATCACACAGAAGTTAGAACAGAATCATGGTCTACTGACTCCCACTTTGGGGTCCTCTTCACTGGGATGCCCTGCTTATTAACCTACCAAAGCTGTAGATTTGATCTATGTTGTGGGTTTAAATTGAGACTCATTTTATCTCCCACCCACCCACCCAGAGCTCCAGAGGAAAGTACAGTTTCTTGTACATTTGGTAGCTAGCACTCACAGTGCTCAGCAATGATAACATCGAATAGCAGGCAGAAATCCTGGTGCTAAAGGGTCCCTGCCCTAGAATATCATTGGGATGCTCTATGTGTCTTGCTTAACACCATTCACCGTAACTGGTCCACCAAGATAATGATACTCTGCAGCTAATATTCCATTAATTTGTGCTCTAACAAATTACACTCCCTGTCCCTCTTTTGATGGTGACAGTGCTGCCTGGGCTAAACAGTGTCCATAACCTTTAAGAACAGACTAAAGTTTCAGTCAATACAGACTAAGGAGACACAATTGTTCACCTTTCAGAGACTTAGGCCACGTCTCCACTATGTGAAAGACTGAGGTTGCTGTGATCAATCTTCCGGAGTTCAATTTAGCAGGTCTACCTAAGACCTGCTAAATCAAACGCAGAGGGTGCCATCATCAACACCAGCATGCCTGCTCGCAAGGAGTAAGGGAAGCCGATGGAAGCATTTGCGTGGAAACTCGAATTAAGCTGTGTCTTCTCCAGCTACATAATGAATGTATCTGAAGTTACGTATGTTAATTCAACCTTCTTGAATAGTGAAGACGTGATCTTAGAGAGCTTGGAACATTCAAGCTGTAGAGCTCTCTATTTAGGTAAGATAGCTAGACACTGTCCTATGAAAGAATGGATTCACATTTACACAACAGGTGGTTGTGTGCTATTCTGGCAGTACTGGACTTAAATTGCCTTTACACACATTTTAAGGAACATCTGGTGTGAACTGCCACAGCTCCATTGAAATCAATAGAACTACAGTTAGCTCTCTCATAGTGCTGGAAGGGACCTTGCAAGATCATAGAGTCCATTCCCTTTCCTTCACAGCAGAACCAAGTACCATCTCTGACTGATTTGCCCCGGATCCCTAAATACCCCCACGAAGGATTGAACTCACAACCCTGGGTTTTACTAGGCCAGTGCTCACACCACTGAGCTATTCCTCCCCTTGGTTGACTAGACCAGCTGAGGATCTGTTCTTCAGCAAGATGTGACGTAGCTGTCAACTAAATGAGAACACATCCATACTGTTGTCATTACACACAGTACGCCATCTCCAGGTCACTGACTCTCACGCTCTTTATAACTAATATACACACCCTGTCAATTGAGAGGTATCTAGTTCATCTTACCATACCTTTGCACTTCATACAATCTGGGGAGAGAACTAGGCTGTAACGTACCATGAATGTAGAGACCATTAATTACTTCTACAGCTGTGTAAACTACCCTCATATTGCAAGACTAATTAGGAAACATTAGACCTGATTAACTGATCAATGACAGGGGATCAAAGGAAGTCCTACTTGTTTCTCCCTTCCCTCACGCAACCACACATATTTTAAAGGTAAGCAAATGCTTACATGCTTTACTGAATAGGGATGGATTTAAACATGGGTTTAAGTACTTTCCTAAACTGAAGCTGCTATGTCCCATCTATAAAATGGAAATTATACTGCCTCCTCTCTCCTCCCCTTCGGCCAGGTCTATGCTAGACCCCGCAGCTCAGCTTAAGGAATGCAACTCCATCTGTGAAGTTCCGCCAGCTTCCCTTACTCCACACAAAAGGAGGAGTACCGGACACTGGTGGTGGCACACACTGAGTTTGATTTAGCGAATCTTAATAAGACTTGCTAAATCAAACACCAGAAGATCAGATCAATCGCAGCAGCAGCGATCTTCCGTTTAGTGTACACAAGACCTTAGATTGTGAATTCCTCAGGACAGAGACCATCTTGTACCATATGGAAGGCACCACACACACACACACACACACACACACACACACACACACAGGGGCTGTAGACACTACTAGAATACAAATAATAAACCTGTTATGAGGCTGGTTGAGGTTTCATTTTTCTTTTGAATCATGATACTCTTAGAAACCATGTGGGCCAATGGTATCACCTCAGTCACTCTATATAGCAGCCAAACACGGTTGTAGACATAATCTAAGGGCTTAGCTGTGGTCA